TAGCTGCCTACCTAGCACAACTCACCTCCTTTACCTGGGGTTGGGACGGGTTAAGGGAAATTTTAAGGTCATCAACCTTCTTAGAAATGGCCACATAGTAGCTAGGGCTTATCATAGCCATATATCATCATGTAAATCATCAAAAAAAAAAAAAAATTTCTTAATCTCATTTCTAAAAAGCCACAATAATATATTGGGTTGTTTTGACTGATCATTGGCCCAACTAATTGCTTGCCTGTGTTGCTTGGTACAAGCATGCATACTTGTGTTGTAATAATGTGCTTGCTACAACTGCCCTGCCAACAATGATGTCCCATTACTGGTAACACTAGCTATGAACAAATATTTTAGTGTAGGGTGGACTATCTACCAGATATTAAACAATATAAGAGTGTTGTAGGCCTTCTATTTCCTTTGCACCTACCGGTTAAATTCTACCCATTTTGGTTCCCCATCCATGCTCAGGGATTGCATGATCGCCTATCTTGTTGTGTAGTATATGTAGAATCAATGGTCCCTAATGGAAAAATGAAATGGAGAGGTATTGAACCCTCTTGGCTCATAAGATAGCTAACAAGAAATTAAAATAATGGAGTGGGTGTGAGCTGAAAGCCTATTACATACAGTGCATGTGTGTACAGTAGCTGCCTATAATCTGTACATCTGCAAGGGAGCATAAACATAGGAAGATTGCTAAATGCATCCAGACATGCTTCTATCCATACAGGAAGAAGAGAATGACTCTTTATCTTTTTCACCAGAGTAGAAGAAAAATGTCTCAGCTTTGGAAAATGTCCTTCATAACAACCAAAAGCAAAAGAATAAGCAACAACCTGCCTTCTACATTACAGAAACTGGCTGGCATATCTGAAAAAGGAAAAGAACAACATATACATTTGATTTCAATGCACAATACACAATTCTTTTGCATGTCTAAGTAAAAGAAAAAATTAAAAACCATGGATGCATTCCGTCTTCATATTCATGATAATATACTACTATAAGATTCATACCTGGCAGTTCCCAGGGATCAAGGTGGTAGAGATCTTCTTCTAGTATGAAATTTGTTGGAAGGGGCACCCCCAAATGTCTCCATGCAAGATAGTACATCAATTCTTCATCTGAAGGGCAAAATCGAACACCCATCGGAAATCTTACATGCAGCATGAATGGTTGGGGGGGGCCTGGAGGCGGTCGGGGAATGCCTGCGCCATTTGCGGTCCCATTTGATGCCATCTAAATCATATAGGTGCAAAACTTGAGTCTTTTGGATACTTTTTGTAAACATAAACATCACCAGTAATGCATAAAAAATGTCAAACAGAAGAAGATCAGTCATGTATTTATTTTTTATTTTTTTTGGGTGAATAAGTAGTAACAATGACTATGAAACTAAAATTGCTAGATCTAGTACAAGAACAATTGATAGCAATTTTGAAGGCTAGACTCTTTTATTAAATAAAGAAGAAGAATGCATGGAGAGATCTGTATGTCTTATGTACAAAATCAAACCCCAAGCCCCAGGCCAAAAAGGAAAAAAAGAAAGAAGAGATACAGCGGAAGGTAAATAATGATAAGTGTTTAGATTACTTGGCTTTGTATCTATCTAAATAACAGATGGAAATGGATTTTTAAAATGTTGAAATGAAGAAAATGAAGAATTTGAGGGAAAAACAGGAAAGTAATAAAAGGAGACTAAATGGTGAAGGAGAGATAGGTTCAGAGGGCTGTTACAGTATTTGAGGCTTCAGCTGATAAAGAGAAGCAAAACTATAGAGAACCCAATGGCTCTTTATCAATGAAAAGCCACGAAAATAAGTTTCGAAGATTCAAAAATAAGAAGAAGAAGGAGCAGCTCCCAACATTGAAAGGAGAAAACAAAAGGTTCAGAAGAAGAAATCTGGTTTCTTTGAGAAGGAAAGGTTCATGACGCTGGTGAAAAAAATGAAAGGCATATAGAAATTTTTAAGACGTGTGGCCTGGACGCGAGAATGAAGTAAGAGATAAATGTGAATGTTGCTATTTTTAAAAAGGAAAGGTACATGTATCTACTGGGAGAGAAGAGAGAGGAGTGAGGTAGAAAAGGGAGGGAGAGAGAGAGAAGAGGGAGAGAAAGAGTGAGTGAGTGAGTGAGTGATAACAGAGTGGGAGAGGAAAGAGAAGAGAGAGAGGGAGAGAGCGTGCGTTGTGCGTTGGGGGAGAAATAGAGAGATGATGTTGAATAACATGGGCACCCATTTTTTAATGAAGAAAAATACAATACCCCCTTCTTCTCATGCCCCCCAAGAGCCCACTGCCATATTCTCTCTCTCCCCCCAAATGGGCAGAAGGTGGTCCCTACCTTACCACGCTCCTCTCCTTTCTAAATTAAGATCTCTCTCTCTCTCTTCTTTATCTCTCTTACGCCAAATGGGGGCTGCATTCGTTCTCCCCCCCCCACTCTACTCTACTATACTAAAGGGTGCTTTTGAAATTTGTATTGTATTTGTTGACTCGGGTTTAGCGTAGGTGTCGTTTAGTGTTTAGGGCACCGCACCTAATTTAGGGTTTGTACATATCTCTAAATTTAGGGAAACTCTTTTTTACAACTTAACTTTCGGAAAGGTGGGGCCATTATCCTTTATTATCCATGATTAGGGTTGGCAATGGGTTGGGTTGGGCTGGGCTGGGCTGGGCTGGGCTGGCCTTGCCGTGGTCCTGGTCCCCAGATAGCCAGCCCAAGCCTGGGCTTGCCGTGGTCCTGGTCCCCATATTGTCAGCCCAAGCCGGGGGCCAAATAGGCCATATAGTAAGCCCGACCCTAGCTTGTCGTTGGGCCAACAACAAAAGGAGCAAAAAAAAAAAAAGTGCTTGGAACTGGGCCTTCAAACCTCAATTTCTGGCCCTGGCCCTCATTTTTTAGTGCCGGGCCACCCGACACATTTGGCTGCCCTACTTCTACGCTAAATAAGGAAGAAAATGCATTTGGACAGGATAGGGTGAGAGAGGGAGAGAGGATAAGAAGGGGATTTGAGATTATTAATCATAAGCAGTGCATATGGTACACTCGCTCTCTCTTCCCAATCATGGATTACTTATTCTTCATCTTCACTACATTCTTGAGCTCTCAACCTCAAACTAAAAATACAAACAACTTCACATAATAATGTTTTACGTGGAGGATACGAGGAAAAAAGCATTCCATGTATAACGATCACACCATTTCTGTTTATAATAAGAATTACTTAATAGCTCCTGCTAATTGTCATAAACAGAAGCATATGATTCTACATATATAGAGAGATATTAGCATAAATGTAAAACACCATCTATCTATCTCTCTCTCTCTAACTTGCTATCTATCTCTCTCTAACTTGTGCTTTTGGTGAAATCATGTAAGTTCATGGCCATATCCCATTATTATTTAATAAGAATAATACGAACTCTCATTTTCTTCATAGAGGAAAGCTCTTAGTAACTTTAACCGGTTGGACTGTGCTTTTTGCTTTACGGTAGTTTTGGTTCTGATGTGTGTCATAGTTTACAAACCACTTTTCTGAAACCAGACTTGGTTGGTGACCAAATTGGCTAGATCCAATGGTTCAACAATAAGTTTTTCCAGAATTCCTTATAAATTTTTGTTTAATAGAAAAATATTTGTTTAGAAGAAAATACTTTGTTTGATTTAAAAAAAAAAAAATCAAACAAAGCTCCAATTAAAATGAAAAAATTGTCATGCATTTCATTTAATGCAAATTTGTGGCTATTAAGGGTTTATGAAATTTGTATTTCAGACTGATTGCAAGAACTGTGTTTTTCTTAATCTATTAAACTCGAAACCCTAACTTCAAATTTTGATACCAATTGCAAGATAGAAGAGTTCAAGCGTGCCCTACTACTTCCATGCCCTCCATTTTGAGCATGCCCAATTACAAAAACCATGATCTCCAATTCTCCTCTTCTAAAGTGAAGTATGAGATATCGATCCCAACCTTCATGACTCCTATGTATCCATGGATAGAAATTATATGCTGATCAAAATGACCTATCCAACTGTTCAATTCTATTACATATTTCCCCAAACATTTCATGAAATGTTAGGATACTTTAAGTATTGAAATATTAGTGTTCTTAATTGGTTAAAATTAGCGGTTTATTAGATAAATAAATAAACAACTTGTTCACTGCAAATGCACAATAAAGGTGTCTGCTCAATAACAATATCCTGAGGAAATTTGCATATTTAGAAGATCTATTGCCGAAGGAGAGGCAAACCTTTCTGCAATTTATCCTACTCATTATAAACACATATCCTCATTTTATCCATTTCATATTAATAATTTCTGAATCTTTAAAATGGGAAAGTTGATATCAACCATCCATTATCCTTATCAGAGCTACACCAGACTGAGCAAGTTAACCAAATCCATCAATTTTAAAACTGGTTGATATATGAGAGAGACCGTCCTCATCATGTTGTTCATATGAGGAAGATTTCCATAGAATGTGCTCTCTAAATTTTGCAATAATTCAATTTAAATGGAAGCCAGTATAACAAATCAAACTATCCACGATAAAATTAGGGTAAAAGATCTCTTTGTATGCTTAGACAATAAATTTTAGGGGGATTTGCCTAACCCCAAAGCTCCTAAATCATTTTTATTCGTCTTTAGGGATCAGTTTTGAAAAGAAACTATTTCTTGCCAAGAAATTTCTCAATGTCAAAGGGGCTGGGATCTTTGTAGTAGCACGCCCTATATCACATCCTGCTCATCCCACTGACAGCTTCGAAAACGTAACCATTTAAAAATGGGGTAGGGGCCTGTATACCTCACTGAATTACCCAAAAAAAAAAAAACCCAAAACATGATTATTTGCCCCAAGGAACACATGTACATTTTGGTATTGTGGGACAATGCTAGCCCCACGCTCTAAAAGAAATCAAATTCCTCTAATAGTGCAACAAATCTAAATATGATAACCAATTCAAAAGCATCATGTGAGCAAAAGCATCACCAAGATCAAATTGAAGTATCGTAACAGTTACTTATTGTACTGCTGGCTGATATAAAACCGACATTCATACCAGGAGAGGAGAGAGATGAGATTAAAAATGTTTGTGCGGCAATATGAAGCACATGTGCTTCATATTAGACAACGGTAACGAACTAAAAAAGTTTCTTTCTAATCATTTATTGAAACCACAACTGCTATGCAGCCTAATCATCAACCTCAGAGTCTGTGCCTGGATCTGAATCCTCTCCATCTGAATCTGCTAAGGGTACTTCTGATTCGTTATCTGAATGAGTGCAAGCATCCTCATCTTTGTAAATCCTACAGACCACCAACTAATCCACCAACAGCAGGTGAGAGAGAAAGAGAGACTAATTAAAGTTCATAGATAACATTAGAAGTTCACAGAGATGATAGGGAGAGAACGACAGAGAGAGAGAGAGAGATCATTCTCACCATAGGGGGTGGCAAAGTTTGCGTCACGTCCTCTCCCACCTCTTTGGTCTCATATGGTAAATGATATTCATCTAACCGCCACTCAGTGAATCTCTCCCTTATCGCATTGTCCACGACGAATAACATTGTGAATCTCGAACCAAGATATGTACCCCTTCTATCAAAGATCTCTTTCTCCTGTGATATGTAGGTCCAGTGCCCTGTTGCTGTTAAACACTCATTTGGCAACCTTCTTGTAATTGCAAAAAAATACCATTCATTTTCTTTGTATAAACTCGGGTTTACATCTGTCAACGAAAAAAAACAAAAGGATTATTGGCAAATAAGGAAACCATGTTAAGAAATTAAAATTGAAAACAAAATTTGCTTTTCTTTTGTTTAATTATTGTATTGTAATTTTTCCTTTTGGAGGATTTATAAAAACTGAATTAATTATATGTTATCAAAAGATAATTTTGAAATTTAATGCCAAAACTGAAGTTGTATAATAAAAATGTTTAAGTTTTGATGTTTTAAATTGGGTATTCGTCCCCAACAATAACATTTACCCTATACATCAAACCAAAACATCTAATTTTAACTAGTCTATCCCCATCACCCCATCAAAAGACATAATACATGCATGCATGCGTACAACTCCAAAGTAGAGAGACAGACATGCATGGTGTGCACACACATTCAAAGGGTTGAGTTTTGATGTTTTAAATTGGGTATTGATCCCCAACAATAACTTTTACCCTATTCATCAAACCAAAACTTCTAATTTTAACTAGTCTATCCCCATCACCCCATCAAAAGACATATATGCATGCATGCATGTGTACAACTCCTAAGTAGAGAGACAGACATGCATGGTGTGCACACACATTCTAAGAACAAGATTGTCCAAGTTCTTTAAGAGGCATGTTGATCGAATTCAATTTCATAAGTACATTAGCACAATATATATATATATATATATATATATATATATATATATATATATATATATATATATATATATAGTAGTATAGTAATATACTATACTACTACTACTACGTACTAGTAGTAGTACGTACGGTACGTACCGTTAACCTTAACCGTTACCTTA